TCAACCCAATCACAAACTACACGACTCACCACAACCATTCACAACTCGCCACGTGTCAATCCACGTATTTCACCTGTCTTCTCTGTACAAAACGGAACGTTCCCCACGCGAAAAAATAAATAAATAAACACGAAAAATTTCATTCCCACCGGCAGAAAGAAATTTTCATAAGAAAAGAAAAATCAATTTATAGGGTGGTCGGTGGAGACTTTCACAGCGGCGATCTGGTAGTTTCCGGCGAATCTTCTTCTGTAATGGAGTCTCACGGAGCCGGACTCCGCCGCGTATTTCTCCTTGCATTTTGTGTTGCCGGCATTTGGGCTGCTTATATTTATCAAGGCGTTCTTCAGGAGACCGTGTAAGCACTTCACTTCAATTTTTCTGCTTCCATGATTGCAGTAATTAATTAAGTTTTGATGTACAAGCTGTAAAATTTGTGTTCCATGATTGAATTTTAAGTAATTTTAAGAGACTCTGTGTAATCGTTTATTGGGAAATTGTGAGTGAGATATCTGTTTTCACAATTTATGTTGTTATTTTAGCTCTCTTAGCACATGATTATTGCAATGTGCTTGCCCTGTGTTTTTTTTTTAAATCTGTGTTGTGTGTTTCATTTTCCAATGGTTTTACTCATTTTTTGGGGTTTTTTTATTTATAGCGTCTGGATATTTGATTTGATTTAGGTCCACGAAGAGATTCGGTACCGATAAGGAGAGGTTTGAGCACTTGGCATTCTTGAACCTTGCTCAAAATGTCGTGTGTTTGATATGGTCATTTTTAAGTAAGTTTGTGAGGTATCCATTAGCTGTTGAGTTATTTTTCTCTGTCGTTCCTATCCGTATTAATGGTTGTATGTTTCTTGAGTAGTGATCAAGATTTGGTCCAATGGTGGAAATGGCGGAGCTCCTTGGTGGAGTTATTGGAGCGCTGGTATTACGAACTCGATTGGACCAGCTATGGGGATCGAAGCGTTGAAGTACATTAGTTATCCTGCCCAGGCATGTTCATATTTCTATGCATTCTTCAATTCTTTCACGTATTCACTTACACATTAATTAGAACTTGGACAATATTGACTTATAGATTTTGTCGGTGTTCGATTTTTGTAGTGTTCCATGACTCGTCGTTTTCCGTAACTGATTTGTCCTTATGTTGTATAACACCCTATCTCCAATTTATGGGCAAGATGCATTAGTTTCTATTTCAAACATTATTTTTCCATTATCATTCATCACGGTGCCGTCAATGGATTGAAGTAGTCTTGTTCTAGAGAAATATGTGTTCCTGCCATGGTGACTCATGATCGTACTTTCAAGTGCTTCTTATCCGTCAATTTAATGCATAAATTAATAACTTGGTTCATTTCCCCTAAGCATTAAATATAGCGATTAAGTACATTAGCTTTTGGCAAATCACGATGTTATCTTACTGCTTGAATTTATCAGACTTATTTTTTAATGGGAAAGCCAAGAAATGTACAAAATTATTTACATGGCGTCAACGTGACATTTAGATTTTTTTTTTGGGGTACTATGGACTAATGACGGCGTTGTATTTATAGGTGCTGGCAAAATCCTCAAAAATGATTCCAGGTGAGTTATTGATGAAAATATTCTCTGTTTAATGGATTCGCCAAATTTTTGTCCGCATTCTGTTGATTCTAGCATGAAGGATATTTTTTGGAAATTCATGCAGTGTTTGTAATCGTGTGATGCTTCAGTCAGAATTTAGAAAGAATTACACTGACTGAGATTCATATTTACTCAAGATCTAGTTGCATTTTGAAGAATGTGAATCACAGTCAGTTAATATTTTCTAAATTCTGGTTTCCATATGATTATTTGGGTACTTGCTCGTGATAATTTTATGTTGAGGGATGAAACGAAGAATCTCATAGTTCTGTGTTTTACGTTTTTGTGCAGTGATGCTCATGGGTGCACTAGTTTATGGGATCAGATATAGCTTTCAGGAGTACCTTTGCACATTGCTTGTTGCTGGTGGTGTATCCACTTTTGCACTTTTAAAGGTAATAATCTAGTCATCCTTTTTTTTTTCATTATTATTTTTTTTATTTTTTTTCTGAATTCCGTATGTCCTCCCTCACTCAAGTCGGTGTTTGGTTGGAAAAATGATTGCCTTTCTGTCAGTTATTAATTGGAAAAAATATCAACTCGCCTTTGTATGTATATCCATTTTATTGTCTCGTTCATCTTTTCCATGTTCCAGTTCATTGAGGAACATATCGTAATTTAATTTTAATCATCAGAAAATCCAATAAGCACATCCAAACAGCATGTAGTCTTGAATTATGTAGTCAAGAATATTGAGACCTTTTTATGATTAATCTTGTTGTGTCTTAATTTTCCCTGATTGCAGACTAGCTCGAAGACAATTAACAAACTCGCAAACCCAAACGCCCCACTTGGATACGGTCTTTGTTTTCTGAACCTTGCTTTTGATGGATTCACTAATGCCACTCAGGATTCACTTACTGCCAGGTAAACAGTCAGTTTTCTTACATTGACTATGAACAAATATAAAGTGACAGTTAAAACAGTGACAAACGCAGTATACTAGCTCACTGTTTTGAGTTTGAACCCTCAATCACGTACCGGAAATCACTAAAATTAACTCTTTATAAACTTGCTATTTATATCAACGGAAACCAACCTTATTTTTTTCTTCAGGTACCCTAAGACAAACGCATGGAATATAATGCTGGGAATGAACTTATGGGGTACAATTTACAACATGGTATTTATGTTTGGCTGGTCGAACGCAATTGGATACGATGCAATCCGATTCTGCCAACAGCACCCCGAAGCAGCATGGGATATTTTCCTCTTCTGCCTGTGCGGTGCAGTGGGCCAGAATTTCATATTCTTGACCATTAGTCGGTTCGGTTCTTTGACTAACACAACCATAACCACAACTCGTAAATTCGTAAGCATTGTTGTATCTTCTCTACTTAGTGGAAATCCACTCTCGAAGCAACAATGGGGGAGCGTTGTCATGGTCTTCTCTGGATTATCGTACCAGATTTACCTTAAATGGAAGAAGCTGCAGAGAATACAGAAGAAGAGGAAGTCCACTTAAATTCCGATACTAAGATGTAGCAATTTTTATTTTTTTGGTTAATATCGAGTGAGGTGTATTAGTTATATGCTTTATTATAGGAGAATATATACTTGGACATATGCTCGTTTATAGATACAAACCATCTATCGAAGTTGTGAGATGGATTTCTTGTTAGTACCTTCGAGATTCTTGTTAATGTATGTGCCTTACCGATGATTCGAACAGACAGCTTCTATTGTAAGAGCTCCTTCGTCGAAATTGTCGACAGGATTTTTTCGTCGAAATGAAATTTTCTTTTTCATCAAAATGTTGTTTCCATCGTGATTTACAATATACCGACGTAATCTGATTGAAATTCTGTTTCGAGAATTTGTTGGTGTTCGGAGTTCAAAATGTTGAATCAATTAATACTTTTAGGTATCGGGTGAGGTGGACCAGCATCAACAAAATCTTTGCACACTTGGTTAAATTTTTGAAAAAGTTGTTTCAAATGATTGAGGTCCCAAACTCTGTAGGCCCTAAATGGGAGCACATTTAGAACATCCAAT